GAGATGCTGTATGTTCCCCGCAGAATTGCTGCTCTCAAAAGCATCCCATCCACTGACAAGGTTCTGTTTCAAGCCTGCTGGGTTGGGACGGGGGGGTGGTACCTGCTGGCAGAAATCCTTCAGAATCACTAAAAAAGCAATCACAAATGGTTTCATCTGCTTGCATATCTGATTCTCCTTATGTGGGTTAACCAGACAAATGTACCCCTTAATACGACTTGGAATCGAGGTTGAAAAGGGTGGGAAGAACATCCTTTGCTTGTGACTTCTAAATCTGTGGGTTGTATCTGAAAGAAGCTGTCCTGTACAAGCTTGGTCACCCTCTCTGGTCCACCCTGAAGGTGTTCCTCAGACAATCTCTCTCTGATTAGGTGGCTCTTGCCCCAAATCTTGTCAGTTTTTCTTGGCTTTCCTGCAAAATCTTACCAAGAGATCAACCACCGAGCGAAGATGAAGCCTGCCCTCTGCTCCTGCCTTTGGTGTGGTTCGCCCCAAGTGAAGTGCATCGGTGGTGGTTCATCTTCAAAGTCTAGTTTTCAAATACCTTCTGCTTAAATGCCATCTCTTTTGTGCTTGATGTCCTGCAAACGCTCACACTACAATCCCTGATGCCATGCTCAAGCTCTTCTGTTGGCCTCATGGTTCCCAAGACCCTGGGATCGACATGGAAAATTAAATTATTTAGCACCTCAAACTTTGTAATTGCCTCAATCAGAGAAGCATAAGGAGGCATGGAGAGGAGCACGGAGAAGTCTGGAGTCCCCTTGGTCCATGCAGGTCCAGCAGCAGTGAGGAAAGGCAAATTGTAACTGGAACCAGTCTTGATTCTCCCTCTCTCAGTGTCGGGTACCTGGTGAATATTTGTTGATGTTGGAGCACCAAAAGGATGATAAATTCTTCTTATTTCAAACCAACCCTTCCCAAGGCATAGGTAACAGCCAGTCACTGCACTGCTTGCAAAGCTCAGCTGAAGGAGGCTTCGTCAAGCAAGGGAATAAATTTCTGTCTATCCCAGTTCCTTGAAACAACACAAATTTTCTGCCTTGTGTGATTTTCCTGTTGCATTTTTCCACAGTTGTTAGGAGACACAAGGCAGGCTAGAGGATCACTGCAAAACACCAGCATTGCAAACTCTGATGCTTGCAATAAGCCTCGTTATTTAGGACAGTGTTATTAAAAAAAAAAAGAAAAAAAAATCCTTTCAAGTATGTAAAAATGAGCACCTAAAATCACTCTACTGCAGAGACACGAGGCAGGCCAATTTAAAAAAAAAAAAAAAAAAAAAAAAAATAAGCCTGGTGCATGTTCCCTCCCAGGCATTCTGTCTTCCTGAGATGGTTGTTTTGTTTTAGCCTCCTTCATTAGAGCATGCCTTTTTATTTTCCTGAAAGTAGGGCACACACTTTTCGCACGGAGGCTGCTTAACTGCGTTTATTAATAATGTAGGGGAGAATAATGCTTTGTATCCATTACTTTAGGGCCCCTACAGATATTTCTAAAATCAGCCTCGGAATTTAGGGGCCTCTGCGGGGATGTTGTGGGACAGGACGGAGGCTCTGATCCCCCATTCCTGCTTCTGGGGCCTCCCCAGAGAAACATTGCTCTTCAGGGGGGAAAGCATAGGCATCGTTTTTCCCCACATAAGTGCTCTGAACCATCCTCTGTAGGTGCCCAACGACTATTTAGGGACATCAGTGAGTCCCCTAAGCGGGGTATCTCGGGGTGAGTATCCTGTAGAGCCTTGCAGGGCTTTCTAAGAACAAATGCTCCCAGCGTTTTGAGGCACTCAGGCACACAGCAATGGGACTGCCTGGGGAATTAAGCTAATTGCAAACTTTGTACGAGGCTCAAAGCCATATCCATCACAAGTTTGGCAGAGGGAAGTAAGAAATATATATACTGCATCATCTGCTTCATCCTTTTGTTGCGATTCTGTACCCCAGCTAATTCACGGAATTTTCTCAGGCACTTCTGATTCATATTTTTCTCTTTTCCACTCAAGATACGTCCTGAACATTACCACGTTGCCTAGAGCTCCTCGCAGGGAGACAGACCAGTCCCAGTGCTGCAGAGACCCATGCTCAGTTCCCTCTACTAGATTTGCCAGAGATCCAACAGATAACAAATAAAAGCTCTTTATTTCTCAATGAATGGCGTAGGCAAGAGACTAAACCAAATCCAGAAAACACTGGTGGGAGATAAACCTTAAATGATATTAGATAGTCATGGCTGGGTTGTAACCTCTGTGAATTGTAGCTTTTGCAAGGGACCAGGAGATATTAATGTTCCTAGAAGCTTCCTTGGTTCACTTAAGTGATGGATTCTCCAAAGATCCATGATTTAATGTAAAGAGCAGGCATAGCTATGGCAAGCTCCCAGATATCCCAGACCCAAATTACCTTGATTTTTTGGTAGGTCTGACGTGGAGAGGAGAAACCGCAGAGGAAGGATTCATATAACATCTAAATAAATTGTCTCATCAGTCTTGGAGATTAAAACCTGTGCAAAATCCAGAGGCAAAAATGAATCTGATTTTAAATAAAAGCATAAGTGAAAGACTGTTTCTGTCCCAGTGCTGGGAGTTAGCTCTCCAGTGTAATGTTCAGGAGTGCAGTGTACCATGGAAAATAAAGCAAGGCGGTTTGGAAATCCTTAATAACATGCAGACCTTTGGGAGAGGGCACAAGCTCAGAGCAAAACGTGATCAGTGCTCGAGTGGAGGAGAAATTTTGCCTTGAATCTCTCACTTCCCACAAACCTCCTGGTTTTCTCTTGGAGAAGGTGAGGAGAGAGGAGCACGTTTCCACGTCTCCAGTAGCATCAACCAACCCATAAACATCTCCACATGGCTGATGATTACCACGCTGTCCAGGAAGGCAGCGCTGCTGGGTGTCCTCCACGCTCCTACGTTTCTGTCCCACACTAGGAGAGCGCTCTCGGGAGGTTTTGGTGGCCCCAAAGCCCTGCAGCAGTGCTTCTCTGCTCTCTCTGGGCACTGGTGTCCAGCCACTAGGACCTGCACTGCAGCTGGCATGGGCTGTGGCACCAGCGCTGATTCCTCCTCGGCCTCCTCAATCACTCGTCCCCAACTTCCAGCCCTGTGGCACTCCCGAATTTACAGTTTCGTCTTCAGAGATGGTTAATTAAGAGTCTGAGCAGACATGGAGGGGTTTGAAACATCATTGCTCTTGCCTTTGGGCTGCAGAAAGGTTTACAAGCCCTGACCAAGTCATCAAGTCCCTTCTGTGGGGCTTAGCGCCGAGCCCCTTGGGGGTAGGAACTTGCTTGGGAGAAGGAGTTACGAAGTGGAGCTTTAAAATATCTTCATGTGTGACTCCCTTGGGGCCAACGGGAGGATAAGGAACCCACCACCTTCTCCTGTGGGCTGTGATGTCCCTCCCAAAGAGCTCCTCTTTCTTCTCCAAACGTCTTTGTCCAACCTTGGCTGGTTCTGCTCTCAGAAACAGTTCCCTGCCTACAAAGTCACGCCTCCATCCTACCTTTTTTATCCAAATGTCCTTTTTATTCTCTAGAAATCTCTTGAGTTGGCATATCTGACCCAAAATCCTTTTACCACATCTCTGGGGAAACCATACCTGTCTGTAACACCATCTGCACAGGGAGAAGGGGACAATGGGGACATACCTTGACCCTCAACCTTCTAGAGATCTTGGAGAATCCAGTAATTCGGTGTAGAGAGAGCATGTCAACAGTCTACCTTCTGTGATCACAAAAAATACCTTTAAAGAAGCCATAAATTGGTGATTTTCTTTGATTCCAACAGCAGCATCGTTTTACCTCCTTCACCCTCCGCAACTTCACAGTGAGGTCTAACCACTAAGCACTTGCGAGGATTGATCAACCCTCACTTGGTTTTCTTTCCTTAGTCGCTGGGTGTGTGAAATACATACTGCGATACATGGAAAACCTGGAGCTTATTTCTTTTATAATGACAGCTAAAGGAGCTTGTTAAGCTGGTGAGCAATGAGCTGTAATAACTGGCCGAGGCTTTCAAAAGATGTATGCATTCCATTGGGAGGTGGTGGGACTTAACCCAAGGATGGCGTGGGCAACTATTTGAGATTAGTCTGGAACAAAAAGTTAGGACAGGTCCATAGTTTCAGGGGGGGAAAAAAAAAAAAAAAAAAAAAAAAAAAAAAAATTCTCAGAGGCACCAACTTTGGGAAGAAGCCTGGTTGTAGATGTGCTCCAGAAAGCCTTCGGTGTAACGGCAATTCTTCTTCGATGAGAGTTGGTGCTGTGTTTGGGTATAAGCCAAAGGTATAGCCAGTGCTGGTTCATCGTGCAGAGGTGCATTATGGCAGTTAGTATAAGACCTTTTCCTCTTTCCGAAAATTTAAGACCCACAAAATGACTGCATTCTGTTGGTCCCTTCTCAAATCCCACAAGATTTGGCTCTTGAGATTCTTCTGGATTATTTTACTTGGCTTCATAAATACTTTTCTGCCAACTGGGATCCAGGACAACCTGCCCGAAGCCACTGCATCTGCTCACTGTCCTTCTCAGAGTTTCTAAAGACCACCCCACGCTGTGGTGGGGTGGTCACAGCAACCGTTACCTTGTCCACTGGTGGTACTTGCCATGCAAGCATCTCAAAGGCTTTTACTGTGAATAAAATACCTTGCACACTCAGCTCAGCCTGTTTTCTGGCTGGGAAACACAAGGCCAGGGAGGGCTGTTGCTGGTCCCTGGGCACAGAGGTAAGCAGTGGTATCTGGGGAAGGATGGTCACATCTCCCAGGCGTAGATCTTCACGCAGGTGGCTTAGCTCAAAAACCCAGTTGTTTAGGGTAGGTAACTGGTTTGCTTCAATGCACTGGGCAAACCATCCCTCCATGGGGAGCAGGTGGGGCAATAGTTTGTCCTTAAAAGGTCGGGGGGAAGGGAAGAGAACAGGGAAGTGGTTCAAATGTGACAAAAATGCGGGAAGTTGTATCTTCATTGCTCTGTGTGACACATCTTCTCTGTCTCCACTCAAGCTACACTTCTGATGAAGCAAGCCTGGCCACAGACCTCCTCCTCCTGTGCCACGGAGGGCACCTTCCACCTCCCGGTGGACACCGGGACCGAGAACAGAACTTATCAGGCTTCTTCTGCAGCATTCAGTAAATAAAAACTTTTTTTTTTTTTTTTTCCTGGGGTTTTACTTGGTTGTTTTGTGCCCACTTGCCTCCCCTCCTGTGAGTTAGTTGGGGATGGGGTTCTTTGGGATCAGCCTGTTTGCAATGAATGGGATGGTTCATGTCCATGCGGGTGTCTGCGTGTCCTTCCCTGGGTGCTGAGCCCTGACACAGGTGAGGGGGCTGCAGGTCCTGAGGGTGCTCACTGGCACCTTGGAGCAGATCCATCACCTGCTGCTGCCAGAGCTGCCCAGTGGGAGCATTGCTCTGCTGCTCCAATTCCCTTCTGGGATGAAATTTTGCAGAGCTCTTGGGTTTTTTCTTCTGAAAATAAGGTAGCATCCCTGCTCCTTCCTGTTAGAATGTGTTCAAACCATGAAGGAGCTCAAAAAGGAGAGCACGGACCCTCCTAGTGCTCCTTCAGAGGAGGAAGTCAAGTGGAGGAGGGTGAAAGGCTTCTCTTTCAGCTAAGTCTTTGGTCCCCAGGAGCAACCTGAGGTTGCTTGCAGATGTATATCTGCAATGGTGATGCTCTGTGGTTGAGCAGAACAGTATGCATAGAAAAACGAAAGGGAGGATATTTCCTATACCCTTAAAAGTGAGAGAATGCCAAAAGAAACCACCCCATGATATTCAAGGAACCCCGCTGAAATTCCCACCTTTTAACTCAAACTGGCTGAGCAAGAGGAGACGATGCTGCATAGGTATCGCAGTCAAACAGGCTTTTCCAGGTGGAGCCTTGTAATCTCATCCCTAAGAGGCCAAATAGTGCCTCCAGGAGGGGCGATAAACTCCCTGATAAAGCTTCTGGTGCTTCCCTTGGTATGTGGGGTGTCCCCTGCCCCACTGCTCTTTGCCTGCTAAAGCCAGGGCACAGCTAGCGTGAGGTGTTCTGCGAGCCTGAGGTGAGACCACTTCTAGGTTGAAAAATGCATAATTAACCTTCCAAACACTCCTGGGACCTGGAGAAACTCCCAGTTGTATTTGGAGAAAAAAAAATATATCTTAAAGTGACTTTCCACAGACCGTGTTTGCAAGGCTGAGACCTCTGGGCCCAATGCACACACATGGGTTGAAGTGTTCCTCACTATCTGGCTGCTTCAGAGTCCCTTTTTGTGCTAAATTAAATCGTTTACAGAATGAAATGAGAGGAAGAAATATTGTTTGTTTGTTTGTTTTTATAAAAAGAATTATTAAAAATAAACCTATTAGAAGACTTTGGGAGACTTTCTCTTTGGAAAGGGACGTCCCTACCATTCTTTGGGGTAGGGGCTGTATGTCTGGCACGGTGCATGTGCTTTGTATCACACCTAATTTCACGCCAGACCAGATTTGACTGAGTTGTACGTGTTTGGAAAATCTCAGCTTGTAAGTAGTAGAAACCTAGATATTGTTTGGCAAAATTCCCTTGGACGTGATTTCTCCTCCCCCTTGCGTCTCTGGGCTGGTGCAGGTGAGACTCCTCCCTCGAAATCAGAGAGGGCAAGAGCAGGTACTGGGGTAGGAAAGGGTTTGGAGGCAAAATTTGGCTGTGACCATCCAGAGTGGGTGATAAAGGAGATCAGTAATGCAGACTGGCCTTGTTTCCAGAGAACTGTCTCGGGCACATTTAATTTAGAAATAAAATTTAATAGATAAAGCCTTGAGGTTTGATTTGCAAAGATGCTTCAGGCTTATAGCTGTGGTTGGCATCACTGGAGCTCTGCTGGGAGATGCCATCTCAAGCACAGGCTCTGAAAAATCAGGAGTATTTTCAGGTTGGGAATCCCAGATTGGTTGTGTCCTGTGGCTGGAGATGGGTGAGAGCTTACTCGTGAGCATCAGTGAGGTGTCAGCTCTGGATGGAGAAGAGCTAAGGAGAAAGAAGCCTGGGAGATGAGTCCTTCTGTTCCCAGGGTGAAGATTCCCCCCCAGAACAGACTGCAGCCACGCACTGAACAGGGATAAATACAAATAAAGATGCAATAGCTGCTCAGTACTTCCCCACATCTGCACCAGTAAGATGGAAAAGATGCTGAGGGCTCCACTGGGCTGTGAACCTGCAGTGAAGGACCATGGCAGGACATGCATGAACTTAAAGGCTGGGTGAGAGCTGGCCAGGTGGCTTCATCCTGGCCTTGGCTCCAGTGTGAGGACATGCCTTTGCCTTTTGGCTTTCTGTCCTTTAATGATGGCTCTCCAAAGCTTGGCTTTGCCTGAGGTATTTTGCTTGGTTGCTTAGATGCTCCAGTTGAGATCGAGGTGTCGTAGACACAAAGCTTTGCGTGTGGCAGTGAGCAAGGTTATAGATTTTTTTTTTGGTTATTTTGCCCCAGAGGGTCCTGTTTGCTTGTCTGGCTGGTGAGAATAGTAGTGACAGTGACAACATGCCAGGGAGGAATTTGGCAGAGGCAATTCAAGTCTGCCGGGCAGCTGCCTGTACTGGTCCCCATAGCATGGCATCTCCCCCTGGGCTGTCCCCACGCTCACCTCTCCAGAGCTGTTCCTCCATCCCCCTGGGTGCAGGGAAGGCAGATGGACAAGAAAGTCAGGAAAAAAAGCTGGAGGAGGATGAGCCAAGCTGGAGGGTGGTGGCAGAAGCAGGACCAGACACCCAGAACCAGTCGGACTGAACTAGGTCATGCAACCACGTAGGACATGCCGGAGCTGCTCACGGCTGCTTACTCCTGCCCTTAGAGCGGCTTCCCAGGACTGAAAGGGGCTACAGGAAAGGGGGGAGGGACTCTTGATCAGGGGGGGAGGTATAGGATGAGGGGGGATGGTTTTAAACTGAAGGAGGGGAGGTTTAGATGAGATCTGAGGCAGAAATTGTTCCCTGTGAGGGGGGTGAGGCCCTGGCACAGGCTGCCCAGAGAAGCTGTGGCTGCCTCCTCCCTGGAAGGGTTCAAGGCCAGGTTGGACGGGGCTTTGGGCAACCTGGGCTTGTGGAAGGTGGCCCTGCATGTGGCAGAGGGTGGAACTTGATGATCTTTAAGGTCCCTTCGAACCTAGACCATTCTGTGTTTCTGTGGTGCATCAACAGCTTCTCTGAGCAACCTGTGCCAGGGCCTCACCACCCTCATAGTAAAATATTTCCTCCTTATGTCCAACCTATAAGCTTTCTTAGAAGCTCCCTTTATCTATTAAAAGACTGCAATAAGGTCTCCCCGGAGCCTTCTCTTCTCCAGCTGAAGCCCCCAACTCTCTCAGCCTGACCTCACAGGGGGGCTCCAGCCCCCCTAGCATCTCCGTGGCTCCTCTGGCCCCGCTGGAGCAGGTCCGTGTCCTTCTGCTGTTGGTGCCCCCGAGCTGGACCCAGCCCTGCAGGGGGGTCTCCCAGAGCGGAGCAGAGGGG